AAGGGCAACTGGCCCGGTGCTATAAGCAAATGGTAGGGGCTGCTCTTTAAACAAATGGAAAAAAAAGGGCTGGGCGGTGCAACACGCAATGCTCTGGGTGGTGCCATCAGAATGAAGGGGGTTACTGGATGGTGCGGAAGGCAAATGGCCCGGTGCTAGAAGCAAATGGCAACAAGAGCTGGCCGGTGCACCAGGCAATGTTCTGGACGGTGCTGGAATGAATGAAGGGGGTTTCTGGACGGTGCAAAAAGCAACTGGCCCGGTGCTATAAGCAAATGGTAGGGGCTGTGCAAATGGAAAAAAGAGCTGGGCGGTGCAACAAGCAAGGTTCTGGGTAGTGCTATAAGAAATCAAGTGGGTTTCCGGACAGTGCAACAGGCAAATGGCTCGGCGCCATAAGCAAGTGGTAGGGGCTGCGCGAAAAGCAAATGGAGAACAGAGCTGAGCGGTCCAACAGGCAGTGTTCTGGGGGGTGCTTTAAGAAAACAAGGGGGTTTCTGGACGGTGCAAAGGGCCACTGGCCCGGTGCTATAAGCAAATGGTAGGGGCTGCGCCTTAAGCACATGGGAAAAAGGGCTTGGCGGTGCAACAAGCAATGTTCTGGGTGGTGTGCGCCAGGCAATGTTGTGGACGGTGCTAGAATCAAGGAAGGGGGTTTCTGGATGGTTCAAAAAGCAAATGGCCCGGTGCCATAAGCAAATGGTAGGGGCTGTGCAAATGGAAAAAGAGCTGGGCGGTGCAACAAGCAATGTTCTGGGTAGTGCTATAAGAAATCAAGGGGGTTGCCGGACGGTGCAAAAAGCAAATGGCTCGGTGCCATCCGCAATTGGTAGGGGCTGTCCGAAAAGCAAATATGAGAAATGAAAAGGGTTCTGGGTGGTGCAACAACCAATTGGCAAGAGTTCTGTGCAGTGTTAGAGGGCGGTGCTATGCGCAAATGGCAGGAGTTCCTTGAAAAATGCAAAGTGCTTTGGGTAGTGCACAAGGAAATGGCAGGAGTTTTAGGCGGTGGTACCGGGCGGGGCAAAAGCAAATGGCAAGGTTTCTGGGTGGTGCAAATGGAAGGCAAGCTGGGCGGTGCTGGACGGTGCAAAGGGCCACTGGCCCGGTGCTATAAGCAAATGGTAGGGGCTGCGCCTTAAGCACATAGGAAAAAGGGCTTGGCGGTGCAACAAGCAATGTTCTGGGTGGTGTGCGCCAGGCAATGTTGTGGACGGTGCTAGAATCAAGGAAGGGGGTTTCTGGATGGTTCAAAAAGCAAATGGCCCGGTGCCATAAGCAAATGGTAGGGGCTGTGCAAATGGAAAAAGAGCTGGGCGGTGCAACAAGCAATGTTCTGGGTGGTGTGCGCCAGGCAATGTTGTGGACGGTGCTAGAATCAAGGAAGGGGGTTTCTGGATGGTTCAAAAAGCAAATGGCCCGGTGCCATAAGCAAATGGTAGGGGCTGTGCAAATGGAAAAAGAGCTGGGCGGTGCAACAAGCAATGTTCTGGGTAGTGCTATAAGAAATCAAGGGGGTTGCCGGACGGTGCAAAAAGCAAATGGCTCGGTGCCATCCGCAATTGGTAGGGGCTGTCCGAAAAGCAAATATGAGAAATGAAAAGGGTTCTGGGTGGTGCAACAACCAATTGGCAAGAGTTCTGTGCAGTGTTAGAGGGCGGTGCTATGCGCAAATGGCAGGAGTTCCTTGAAAAATGCAAAGTGCTTTGGGTAGTGCACAAGGAAATGGCAGGAGTTTTAGGCGGTGGTACCGGGCGGGGCAAAAGCAAATGGCAAGGTTTCTGGGTGGTGCAAATGGAAGGCAAGCTGGGCGGTGCTGGACGGTGCAAAGGGCCACTGGCCCGGTGCTATAAGCAAATGGTAGGGGCTGCGCCTTAAGCACATAGGAAAAAGGGCTTGGCGGTGCAACAAGCAATGTTCTGGGTGGTGTGCGCCAGGCAATGTTGTGGACGGTGCTAGAATCAAGGAAGGGGGTTTCTGGATGGTTCAAAAAGCAAATGGCCCAGTGCCATAAGCAAATGGTAGGGGCTGTGCAAATGGAAAAAGAGCTGGGCGGTGCAACAAGCAATGTTCTGGGTAGTGCTATAAGAAATCAAGGGGGTTGCCGGACGGTGCAAAAAGCAAATGGCTCGGTGCCATCCGCAAGTGGTAGGGGCTGTCCGAAAAGCAAATATGAGAAATGAAAAGGGTTCTGGGTGGTGCAAAAACCAATTGGCAAGAGTTCTGTGCAGTGTTAGAGTGCGGTGCTATGCGCAAATGGCAGGAGTTCCTTGAAAAATGCACAGTGCTTTGGGTAGTGCACAAGGAAATGGCAGGAGTTTTAGGCGGTGGTACCGGGCGGGGCAAAAGCAAATGGCAAGGTTTCTGGGTGGTGCAAATGGAAGGCAAGCTGGGCGGTGCTGGACGGTGCAAAGGGCCACTGGCCCGGTGCTATAAGCAAATGGTAGGGGCTGCGCCTTAAGCACATGGGAAAAAGGGCTTGGCGGTGCAACAAGCAATGTTCTGGGTGGTGTGCGCCAGGCAATGTTGTGGACGGTGCTAGAATCAAGGAAGGGGGTTTCTGGATGGTTCAAAAAGCAAATGGCCCGGTGCCATAAGCAAATGGTAGGGGCTGTGCAAATGGAAAAAGAGCTGGGCGGTGCAACAAGCAATGTTCTGGGTAGTGCTATAAGAAATCAAGGGGGTTGCCGGACGGTGCAAAAAGCAAATGGCTCGGTGCCATCCGCAAGTGGTAGGGGCTGTCCGAAAAGCAAATATGAGAAATGAAAAGGGTTCTGGGTGGTGCAAAAACCAATTGGCAAGAGTTCTGTGCAGTGTTAGAGTGCGGTGCTATGCGCAAATGGCAGGAGTTCCTTGAAAAATGCAAAGTGCTTTGGGTAGTGCACAAGGAAATGGCAGGAGTTTTAGGCGGTGGTACCGGGCGGGGCAAAAGCAAATGGCAAGGTTTCTGGGTGGTGCAAATGGAAGGCAAGCTGGGCGGTGCTGGACGGTGCAAAGGGCCACTGGCCCGGTGCTATAAGCAAATGGTAGGGGCTGCGCCTTAAGCACATGGGAAAAAGGGCTTGGCGGTGCAACAAGCAATGTTCTGGGTGGTGTGCGCCAGGCAATGTTGTGGACGGTGCTAGAATCAAGGAAGGGGGTTTCTGGATGGTTCAAAAAGCAAATGGCCCGGTGCCATAAGCAAATGGTAGGGGCTGTGCAAATGGAAAAAGAGCTGGGCGGTGCAACAAGCAATGTTCTGGGTAGTGCTATAAGAAATCAAGGGGGTTGCCGGACGGTGCAAAAAGCAAATGGCTCGGTGCCATCCGCAAGTGGTAGGGGCTGTCCGAAAAGCAAATATGAGAAATGAAAAGGGTTCTGGGTGGTGCAAAAACCAATTGGCAAGAGTTCTGTGCAGTGTTAGAGTGCGGTGCTATGCGCAAATGGCAGGAGTTCCTTGAAAAATGCAAAGTGCTTTGGGTAGTGCACAAGGAAATGGCAGGAGTTTTAGGCGGTGGTACCGGGCGGGGCAAAAGCAAATGGCAAGGTTTCTGGGTGGTGCAAATGGAAGGCAAGCTGGGCGGTGCTGGACGGTGCAAAGGGCCACTGGCCCGGTGCTATAAGCAAATGGTAGGGGCTGCGCCTTAAGCACATGGGAAAAAGGGCTTGGCGGTGCAACAAGCAATGTTCTGGGTGGTGTGCGCCAGGCAATGTTGTGGACGGTGCTAGAATCAAGGAAGGGGGTTTCTGGATGGTTCAAAAAGCAAATGGCCCGGTGCCATAAGCAAATGGTAGGGGCTGTGCAAATGGAAAAAGAGCTGGGCGGTGCAACAAGCAATGTTCTGGGTAGTGCTATAAGAAATCAAGGGGGTTGCCGGACGGTGCAAAAAGCAAATGGCTCGGTGCCATCCGCAAGTGGTAGGGGCTGTCCGAAAAGCAAATATGAGAAATGAAAAGGGTTCTGGGTGGTGCAAAAACCAATTGGCAAGAGTTCTGTGCAGTGTTAGAGTGCGGTGCTATGCGCAAATGGCAGGAGTTCCTTGAAAAATGCACAGTGCTTTGGGTAGTGCACAAGGAAATGGCAGGAGTTTTAGGCGGTGGTACCGGGCGGGGCAAAAGCAAATGGCAAGGTTTCTGGGTGGTGCAAATGGAAGGCAAGCTGGGCGGTGCTGGACGGTGCAAAGGGCCACTGGCCCGGTGCTATAAGCAAATGGCAGGGGCTGCGCCTTAAAACAAATGGGAAAAAGGGCCTAAAGGCGGTGCAACAAGCAATTTTCTGGGTGGTGCTATGAAGAAATCAAAAGAGGGTTTTCTGGATGGTGGGCCCAGCGGCTCTCAGAGCTATCGCTTAATTCGTGCGATGGGTTCGTGGGATGAAAGAGACACGAAGTCTCCCATAAACCCTTTTTAAATCAAACAATCTCCCACAACAGTCCCCCGAATCCTAAGGCCTAAACCCGAAAACGCATCAAGGTTCCGGCAGCTGATAGAGGCCGAGAGGGCTCATGCGACAGAGGCGCTACAAAGTGAGCCGCAGAGGTGTTTAGGGTTTAGTGTCTAGGGCTTAGGGCGTTTGGGGCTTGTATGATCGTCTATGTGCGGCAAATGCATGCACAATCCGCGTGTTGTGAAGCCGCGCAGCCTCTGCCGTGCAGCCGTGTGCTTGCATCACCGCGGTTTAGTTTTTAGGGCTTAAGGGCTTGAATTTTGGGAACCCTAAACCTGGTAGATAGATTATCCAAGCAATATTGGCCATATTCCTCACTAGGGTTCCAAGGAGAGTGTAGGCTTCTCGCATGTTTGCCAATCTTGTGGCCGTTTGGCTTTACCAGCAACAGCCAGTCAGACAGTATACTCTCGGATCCTTATGAGTGCAGCAATGTAGTGTAGCATTCCAGCCGCAAAAGTTATAAGAAGTCCAGATCTCCCGAGCAGCGGCTTCTTGCTGAAATGTATGACATGAACTTTCCGAAATCACGAATCCGAAGTAGCGGGTGGCTTCCGCCACAGAATTGCGTGCCATGCAGTGCTTTGCCTTTCTGGAGGCTGAATCTTCATAGCCCGAACACCTGTTGCAGTCGCAGTCTGTGAGCCGACCATGAAGGCCTTTCGAAGGCCTGGCGCTGATGCGCCGCCGCTAAGGCAGGGGCTTCCAGTATGGAAACCTCCTAGTCTCGGGGGCAAACCCTATACATCGACTTTGCCGCGAGAGCATAAGTTGCAGTACAAAGTGTAGCTGTGCCTCCAGTTTGCTTTCTGGACAGTTTTTTGCTTCCATCCCAAGCTCCCAGAGTCTGCTCCTTGACGTTTCTTGATGAGAAGTCGTTGAGAAACGTGAGGAAACTGCCTGCCAATGACACCGACATGCTCCAGAGGGTACCCTGGCAGATAGGTTTACACTTGAGTGCAGAAGCACCCAGATGGCAGCAAGGTTGTTGACAAGACGGCCTGCCTCCTCAAGCTGCCCTCCAGCCTCGAAGATGCTCAAGAGGCTGGGTGCTTTGATCCTTTTTTGCACAAGATCCCTGTACTAGGGTTTAGGGACCCCCGTCCCCCTCCCCCCTCAAGAAGAAAAACAACACGTAGTCTAAGGTCGAGCCCAAAAGCTGCAATACCACATCGTGGTCATGGTATGTCATGGTCCTTATACATCTTGTTAGATTACCTGGTTGGGTGTGCAGGGTGTAGGTGTAGGGAATATTGCTTAATTGAGGGGTCTTGGGGCCTCTGGGAAGCCCTTCAAATTTAGGGCTTCAGGCCCCCAATGGCCCCAAAACACTGCACACAAAGGTGACAAACATGTGCATGGCAAACGGGTAGCGATGCCTCAACCTGCCAATGCCCAAATCAAGCTGAATGAAGTGAATCCTGTTTCGGGTTGGAGGGGCTGCAAGTCTGACGGGCTTGGCACGGATTCCCGAGCTATTTGAACCTCGGCATGGCAGCACAGCTTCATGTCAGGACGCGGATGGGCGCACACTATCCAAAAGCAGGCCCATGAGCTTTGCATGTCCGAACAGCTACGGCCTGCTCTGTATTGTTGTTAAATGGCTACGCTTTTTGTCCAGGCCATCTCTGACGCCAACTGACGTGCCTGATGAGGCCGCTTGAGCTCGTGTATTCGGTGCTGTATGCATCAGAGCTGAACAGACCGTTGGCTAAGTTGCTCGTCCAAAATTCAAGGAGCTACAGCACACGCCGGACGATGACCTCAGTGCGGAGAACTTAGTAGAAGGTCTGCTGCAATTCAGGACCCGCTGCCGGGCTACGTAGAAGAACATGTCGCCAAGGAATCCGACAGCCTTTTGCCGGATGAAGCGTGTGCCCCGGACATGCGTGCGCTGAGTCTCGAGTCACGAATTGTCCTTGTTTTCGACCCCTGACTCATCTCTTGGCTCTTGCTCTACATGCCGTTTGCACCATGTCTCAGTCATGAAGCCAACTTGCAAAATCAAGCGTTATTGGATAGGTGCCGGCTGGTTTTGTTCATCACTGACATGCCGCAGGCATGAAACGGCATTAGAGAGCCGCAGCCCCTGCACCCCGCACCCGAGGTTGGCACTCCCACTCCCACCGCAGTGGTGTCTGCAACTGAGGCCCGTGCCCGCAACAACAAACACTTCCCGATTATCGCGCTCCCTCTGCCTCAGGCACTGGACGAATTCTACAGCAGCTGCGATGCCCCTTCCTTGAAAAAGCCGTAGCATGCTCCACCAAAGAGCTGCAAAATTCGACGAGGCGGATCCGGCTGCATTGCAGGATGCTGCCGGGGCATCTGCAGAGCTGCAGCCGCAAGTGGAAGAGCTCAAGTCTGAGGCAGCGAAGGTGGGCAGGGGCAGCTTTCGGAGGAGCGGCAGATATCTCAGTTCCTTTGCTTCCAGGTGCCTGTTTGGTGCAACAAGCTTGCCGAGCTTGAGGCTTCCCAGGCATGTTGCCTGTTGATGGCTGCTTTTTCATGCGTAAGAAGACGCGAAGATGCCAGAACTCAAGTTCAAAGCTCTTGACTTGGGACTTGGTGCTGCACGTCAGCTTGTCCCTTGTTTGCAGGCCAAGCCAGAATTGGCCCTGCAAGCTCAAGCCGAAGCCACGGAGGCCCACGACAGTAATGACTTGCATCCTGGCCGTGCCCACTGTTGACATGTGAGGTGCCCGCACTTCAAGCACAGGTAGCAGACCTGGAGGCCTGCGGTTGCCCTTACCCCTTGTTTTGCGCCGTTGCATCGGTGGCCTTGCTCCGTGCTCCGTGAGGCACAGCGAACTGCTGAGTTACAAGATGCCGCGAGTGCATCTGCAAAGCTTCAGGAGCAGGTGGAAAGGCTAAAGTCCGAGGCCTCGCAGGCCGGAACCCACAAGCGCCCAGAAGATGATTTGAAACTTGAGGTGTTGAAAGGGGTGGTCGCTTAGATTGTGGTTTGCGTGCCCCGCAAAAATTATGCTTTTCCTGTGGCTCCCATACACACATATAATGGTTTTCCCGTTGACTCTAATTAGTCTAAGCACGAAAGAAACGATTTGTGCGTTCACCTGCAACCCTTGCTTGGGCAATTCAATTTGTTTGGGGTCTTTGCTGACATAATTGAGGGTTGGCGAGGTTTTCAGGCAAGTGTGAAAGCTCTTCGTGCTTCACCTGTGCTTGGCTGTCGAAGGTGTGGCCACCACCAAGCGTGGTTTCCCACATGTATGAGTTGTCGAAGGCAAGATGCCGTTTTCATGTGGAACGAGCCTGGATGCACACGACCATCACGACCCTTTCAGGAGCCAGACATGGAACAGGCGAGGGGATTGCACATACCACGCAGTGATGCAAAAACCGCCAAACCGTGTATCAGGAGAACCCACTACGCCATGCTGAAGCAAAACGCATCAGCAAGAAGCAAATTGCTCAGGCGTGGGAGGCCGCGGCACGTGTTGTGGAAATCATCACGATACCTTGTAGTCATTGCTTCAGCAACGAACTGTCCTGCTTGAGCAGATCCTGTTTTGCAGGCCTCAGAGCGCCGTTGTGGCTTCAGCTGGCTTCTGCCAGCCTTCCCGAAGCCAGGTCGTCGCAGCCCCGTCTTTTGGTTTGGATTTGCAGTTTGTATTATCAGAACGGCTCATGCCCAAGGTCTACCACCTGGCGCTTCCTACACCGCTTGTGCTGTGCCAAGAGTCTACGAGGAACTCACGGAGGCACCGGGCTGCTTGGAGATTGCCCCCTGTCCATTTGGAAACTTGTAGCCGCAAGTACTGATGTGCTTCGGGCAGATCGTCGCGCACTTGCGGAAGCTGAAGTCTGAAAGCTCCGAACCTGCTTGGTGAAAAGACCCGCCGTGCTGCCATCTGCGTTGTTCCCTCAAGTCAAGTGACGGTTCGACATGGAACGCCCCGCTGAACAGCACCCAAGAAGCACGAGGCATACAGGCTGCTCAAATACTTCCTCGCAGTCTGAGGCTAGTGCTGCGATGCCGACCAGCTTTCAACAAGGAACCCACAGCATGGATGAGCTCGACCGTTACTGGCAATGGTTGCAGTCCTCGAGATGAGCAGAGAGCTAGCCATGTCTTCCAGCGTGAAGAACGCACGAATCGATCGTCGAGTTCGCAGATAGTTCCCCCTTCCTTTCGCTAGAGCGGTGTAATCGCATAGGGAAAAAAGTCGAGGAACTCCTTGTCAACTTGGGGCAAGGCCAAGTCGGTGTAGTGAGCCTCGGGCATACGGGTGTAACGCCGGCATGTCGAACCGGGAAGGGCTCTGCCGGGTCTCACGAGCCGCCATCAGCGCATCAAGAACGACACCGCCCAATAAAGATCGTAGCACACAGACTCTGGTCGGTTCTCCAGATCCTATGCAGATTCTACGCCGGCTTCTCGCAGCACGCCAGCTCAGGTACAGAGTCGCTGAAAGCGCAGTCTTAAGCAAGTACGCAGCCATGTGTCGCAAGCACCTACCACGGGCACGCACTTTTCCAACCGTCCACAACGGTACAAAATCTATGAGCTCACCGAGTCACGACAACATTGCTACTAGTACTGAGTGAACAAGCCCCTGCCCGATCCTTGGGTCGTGATGGCTGCGTTGGAGGCGTGTTGGAAGTGTGTGTCGCGTGCAGATGCGCTGTTGCTTGTTTTACAATTTGTACATCTAGCCCAGCGTGAACTGTTCTTGTCACCCTAGGGGCTGAGCAGCGGCACGGCCTGCCTGGCCCAAGGGCAGGCGAGACGGAGAGTTGGAGCCCAGCAGAGCTTCTGAAGATTTCATGGCCTGTGTTGAGGCAAGGGCAGACTTGGAGCTGCTGTGCTTTGTTCCTTGGCAACGAAGATTCCAAGCGTAAAACAGGTCTTGCTTGGCAGGTAGTCAGGTATTTGTCACGAAAGCTAGCTCCGCTCCTTCGAAGCTTGCGGGCGTTCTTGTTTAGCACTTTGTTGTTGGGACAAACAGCGACAAATCGGAGGTTTAAGGTGCCGTGGCCCCCCACCCCCTCCTCTGCGGGGGAGACATACAAGGGAATCTCATCATGCGGGACCTGAGCTCCAGATTCTCGATAAGGAGGGCCCCCCCCCCCCTACTAGGTCCCCCATTGTTAGCCAACATTTCTGGATATTTCTGGCGATTTTTGCTATCGCTGTTGCAGTGCAAGTGTGTCCTGCGTGAGCTTGCGTTGTTTGATCTCCGAACTGCGCAAACCGGTTCGCATGACAGCAAGCGAACGAAGCGTGTACCAGACAAACTTGCTTTGTGAGAAGTCAGAAGATGTTTCTATGTATGAACTTTTTCGTGCACATGAAGACTGTGAGCGTGCATGCATTGCACGCAGCAAGACAGTGAAGAGTATCCTGTAATAGGAGCTTGCGTTGTTGATCTCCAACATTCAGACGAGCCGGTTCGTGATTGCAAACAAGCGATGCGTGCCCTGGACGATCTTGCGTTGTGAGATTTCCTAGGCTGTGTCCTATGTATGACCTGAGCTCATGTGTACGAGAGTTTGTACGATGTGCATAACAGGTTCGACACCTTTTGTACACGCATACATGCTGTCCTACATAACGTCCCCTCGCCTGCTCTGCCGCGAGAAGAAACAGCGACACTGTCTGCTGTGCCCTAGCTTTCGCTCGCCCTGCTCTCGAGCTTGTTGTGCGAGGGCATTGCGCCTGCAGCCTGCCATCCCCTGCCTGGGGCCGAGTTGAGTGTCTTTTTGAAGACTGTGATTGCCTTATCAGGGGTTTCAGCCGATCCATGAGCCCAGGCAGCCCATCCGTGAAGAGGCGACGCTCGTTGTTCTGCAATTTTCTACCACGTCCATTCAGCATGCGACTCCCCTGCCAGTGTCATCCACTTGCATGTCTATCAATATGTTTATTTGGTTGTTCCCCACCCTCAGTGTGGGGTTGTTACATTTTAAAGTAGGCTATTGCTCCTCGCCCGGTCTCCCGGCACCCACCCCGGCACCCAACCCCAGCGACTACCCTGAGACTCCCTGCAACTGTAAAGACTTCCCTGCTGGAGTGCCTAGCCCCAGACTCCCTAGAGTGCCCAACCCAGACACTAACCCGAGACTTTCTGGAGTGCCCAGCCCCAAAAATTACTCTGCTGATACTTTGAGAGTGCCCAAATTCAGGGACTACCCTCTCCTGCCACTTGGAGTGTCCAACTTCAATGCTGAAGTGCCCAATCCCGGAGACGACTCTGCAGTGCCCGAACCCAAAGAGAGTACCCAACCCCAGAGACTACCCTCCTTGCGTGCGCAATCCCGGAGATTCCAGGTTGCGGAGGAGTTCCCAGTGGAGGCCATGTGTCTGTTTACTTGTCGTGCAACTACAAGAACTACAAGAACAGACAGGGGTCACGCACAGTTGTTTGCGTGTGTCCAGAAAACCTTGGGTTTGTAACGAGGGTCAGGCAGCCTCTCCGGGACAAAGGTTTGAATATAAATACAAATATAAGTATAAATATAACTATAAATATAAATATAAATATAGATATAAATATAAATATAGATATAGATATAAATATAAACATAAATATAAATATGAATATAAATATGAATATAAATATAAATATATATATATATATATATATATATATATAGATGGCCAGTGCCGCCGAGCCCTCAAAAGGCTCGCGGGGGGGGGGGGGGGGGGGGGGGGAGCAAGCATTCAGAGTCGGGCGGTGGAACCTTTCAGTTGCGCAGCTAGTAAGGGGGCCGGTGAGGGGGAGGAGTCAGCGTAGGCGGGGCCTTAAAATTCACTCGGGGTGGGAGGTGGGTGGGTGGTGGGTGGGTGGGTGGGGTTGGACATGGTTGCAAGCGCAAGAGCCCGAGTTACACTGGTGGTGGGCCTCCACAGCAGGTGCAAGGGCGGTGGGTACGTGCTGGAGCCCCTTGAATTCCATTCATCCACAGCAAATGACATTGCGGGGGGCAAGCACTCAGAGCAGGGTGGTGAGGGCGGTGGGGCTACTGCAGGGGTGAGCTTTCACTGATGCCGACGGAGGGTCGGCGGATATTCACAAAATCGTATAACAATAACAAGTTTTGAAAGATAATTGTGAATTGTTACATGTTTCTCCCCCCCTCCAAATCATAATCCCAGAATCCCAGGGAAGTGGGGCGGGCTTTCTGTGCTGGCAGATCGACCGGCCTTAAGACCCCATACACACCCTACATCTCTAGATTCCTTTTTCTCTAAGGATCGTTTCATGGGCATGGTCCCTTACCCTCCTTAAAGGGTTTTGAGGAAGGGCCCCCCCTGCTGTGAAAGGCGGAGGCTTCGACTCCGATGCGAGGTGCCTCCTGTTTGAAAATCTTCTATATCTCTACCCGCATTCGTTGCGAATGCGCAGTGTAACGCTCGTATTTAGTTGCAGCACTGCGGCTATATGAGTAGATTCACAAACTGGCAAATGGGAAGCATGAAAGAATCTTCCGGCAACCTAGGCTCGCGTAAGCAAAACATGGGCGCGTAAGTAAGGTTCGTGTATATATAAGTCACAGGGTTCGCCACGGTTTCCGCATGCTTGCGTAGGCTGAGCTATGTTATGCTACATTTGTTCTCAGCATTCGTAGACGTGTAGAACTGAGCACGAACACAATGACACAGCACTATATGTGCGCAGGCTATGATAGCGATCCCGAAGCGTTGCTTGCAACATGTCCGTGCAGGCGCGCCTGGATTGGAGCCGTGCGAGCCAGGCTGGACCTCGAGGGCTTGGGCGTCTTGGAAAATTCCCCAAACAGTGCTTGCACAATGGGGTTCTTACGTTCAGAGTAAAGGAATTGGTTGCGGGCCGCAACGGCGCACGCAGCGGTGGGGCGGGGCCTTGGTTTCGACGCTGGCGCTGTGGTTTCGCGCGAATTCCTGAGTTCCAGCCTCTTCTGGCCTCTGGGGGGGGCCACTTAGGTTGCGGGCCGCAACGGCGCACGCGGTGGGGCGGGGCCTTCGTTTCGACGCTCCCGCGAATTCCGTTGCGTTTCGAAGCACTCCCGCTGTGGTTTCGCGCGAATTCCGGCCTTTCTGGCCCGTTCTGGCTTCTTCTGGGGGGGCCACTTAGGTTGCGGGCCGCAACGGCGCACGCGGTGAGGCGGGAATTCGTTTCGATGCTCCCGCTGTGGTTTCGCGCGAATTGCGTTGCGTTTCGATGCTCCCGCTTTGGTTTCGTGGCCTCTTCAGGCCTCTTCTGGGGGGGCCACTTAGGTTTCGGGCCGCAACGGCGCACGCGGTGGGGCGGGGCGTTCGTTTCGATGCTCTCGCTGTGGTTTCGCGCGAATTCCGTTGCGTTTCGACGCTGCCGCTGTGATTTCGCGCGAATTCCGTTGCGTTTCGATCGCGCGAATACCTGCCTCTTCTGGCCTCTTGTGGGGGGGCCATGCGCTTAGATTGCGGGCCGCATTTTTCGAGACCTCTTCTGGCCTCCTTTGGCCTCTTCTGGCCCTCCTCACTGTTTAGGGTCTACGCCGGCATAATTGCAGATGGTTTTCAGAGCGTTTGGGAAGTTTTTTTTTTTTTTTTTGGGGGGGGGGGGGGGGGGAGATTTTGGCGAGCATGTGGGGGCTGAGGGGTAATTATGTTCACCGAAGCGGAAGACGGAGGCCCCGTGCATGTTGGTGCAGACTGTGGCCAGGTAGCTATGATGCGTCCTGGGCTCAACATGGCAGTTGGCGCCTCTGGGCGTGAAGCACCTTAATTGTGCATTCCAGCATGTGCAACAGACGCGGCGCCCCAAATTCCTGCGAACGTCGTGTCTCCACCCATTCGGTGCCGGACCCCGAGTTGATCGTGTATGAGGTGTGGTTCGGATGCCAAGGCCGCATCATCTGGCCGACAATGTCCAGCCAGAGATCCAGGATGATGAAATCGCACTCACCTCAGAATTGTGGAGGAATTGAAAGTCTTTTGAGCCCGAAGACTTCCGTTCTTCACTGGTGCTCTAGGCTTTGGACCGGGCGCTTTTGTGTTGGCTGTTTGTTTTTGTAATAATTGTTGCATGAATCCCATGCTCGTCATTTTTCTGGGTCCCTTTTGCAGGTTTGATCTTGAAGCTCAAAGGTGGCCAAGACCAGCAGTGTTCTTTGTGTTTAAGAGGATGATTGGCGCAGGGCGCAGGGCCTGCGGGTTCGCAGCGTCACTGGCTTAGTCTGGCTACTCAGCGCTTTTTCGTGGTTTCTGTGCGCATGTCAAGGGCCGAGTTGTATTGTAGTGAGGAGTCCTCATGGCTGCTTAAAGCAGCTTTTGGTTGTAGCTGGGGCATTCACTTTACCCAGCAGCAGACCCCGGAATCTTCCAGCCCTGCACCGCAATGGATCACCATTCTGTAGCACTGTAGCATTCTTTAACATGTAGGGATGAAAGCCGTGCATCCGACTCCGTCTCGACAGCGGAAGAGATTAATCCTGAGCTTTGCTGTGCTCTGCGCAGGCTCCACACAGCTCAAGCAGAGGCGATGATCCTTTGTCGGTGGACGACCCTTCGGCAAAGCAAGGGGCAGACAAGGCACGGGGTTTGTGCTTCCGTTCGTCTCGTTGGCTTCGTGCCCTTGTCTGTTGAGCCTGTAGGGATAAAAGCCGTGCATCCGACTCCGTCTCGACAGCGGAAGAGATTAATCCTGAGATTTGCTGTGCTCTGCGCAGGCTCCACACAGCTCAAGCAGAGGCGATGATCCTTTGTCGGTGGACGACCCTTCGGCAAAGCAAGGGGCAGACAAGGCACGGGGTTTGTGCTTCCGTTCGTCTCGTTGGCTTCGTGCCCTTGTCTGTTGAGCCTGTAGGGATAAGAGCCGTGCATCCGACTCCGTCTCGACAGCGGAAGAGATTAATCCTGAGCTTTGCTGTGCTCTGCGCAGGCTCCACACAGCTCAAGCAGAGGCGATGATCCTTTGTCGGTGGACGACCCTTCGGCAAAGCAAGGGGCAGACAAGGCACGGGGTTTGTGCTTCCGTTCGTCTCGTTGGCTTCGTGCCCTTGTCTGTTGAGCCTGTAGGGATAAAAGCCGTGCATCCGACTCCGTCTCGACAGCGGAAGAGATTAATCCTGAGCTTTGCTGTGCTCTGCGCAGGCTCCACACAGCTCAAGCAGAGGCGATGATCCTTTGTCGGTGGACGACCCTTCGGCAAAGCAAGGGGCAGACAAGGCACGGGGTTTGTGCTTCCGTTCGTCTCGTTGGCTTCGTGCCCTTGTCTGTTGAGCCTGTAGGGATAAAAGCCGTGCATCCGACTCCGTCTCGACAGCGGAAGAGATTAATCCTGAGCTTTGCTGTGCTCTGCGCAGGCTCCACACAGCTCAAGCAGAGGCGATGATCCTTTGTCGGTGGACGACCCTTCGGCAAAGCAAGGGGCAGACAAGGCACGGGGTTTGTGCTTCCGTTCGTCTCGTTGGCTTCTTGCCCTTGTCTGTTGAGCCTGTAGGGATAAAAGCCGTGCATCCGACTCCGTCTCGACAGCGGAAGAGATTAATCCTGAGCTTTGCTGTGCTCTGCGCAGGCTCCACACAGCTCAAGCAGAGGCGATGTTCCTTTGTCAATAGACGACCCTTCGGCAAAGCAAGGGGCAGACAAGGCACGGGGTTTGTGCTTCCGTACGTTCGTTGGCTTTCTTGCCCTTGTCACTGTTGAGCCTGTAGGGATAAAAGCCGTGCATCCCTCCGTCTCGACAGCGGAAGAGATTAATCCTGAGCTTTGCTGTGCTCTGCGCAGGCTCCACACAGCTCAAGCAGAGGCGATGACCCTTTGTCAATAGACGACCCTTGGGCAAAGCAAGGGGCAGACAAGGCACGGGGTTTGTGCTTCCGTACGTCTCGTTGGCTTCTTGCCCTTGTCACTGTTGAGCCTGTAGGGATAAAAGCCGTGCATCCGACTCCGTCTCGACAGCGGAAGAGATTAATCCTGAGCTTTGCTGTGCTCTGCGCAGGCTCCACACAGCTCAAGCAGAGGCGATGACCCTTTGTCAATAGACGACCCTTCGGCAAAGCAAGGGGCAGACAAGGCACGGGGTTTGTGCTTCCGTACGTCTCGTTGGCTTCTTGCCCTTGTCACTGTTGAGCCTGTAGGGATAAAAGCCGTGCATCCGACTCCGTCTCGACAGCGGAAGAGATTAATCCTGAGCTTTGCTGTGCTCTGCGCAGGCTCCACACAGCTCAAGCAGAGGCGATGATCCTTTGTCAATAGACGACCCTTGGGCAAAGCAAGGGGCAGACAAGGCACGGGGTTTGTGCTTCCGTACGTCTCGTTGGCTTCTTGCCCTTGTCACTGTTGAGCCTGTAGGGATAAAAGCCGTGCATCCGACTCCGTCTCGACAGCGGAAGAGATTAATCCTGAGCTTTGCTGTGCTCTGCGCAGGCTCCACACAGCTCAAGCAGAGGCGATGATCCTTTGTCAATAGACGACCCTTGGGCAAAGCAAGGGGCAGACAAGGCACGGGGTTTGTGCTTCCGTTCGACTCGTTGGCTTCTTGTCCTTGTCACTGTTGAGCCTGTAGGGATAAAAGCCGTGCGTCCGACTCTGTCTCGACAGCGGAAGAGATTACCCAACTCTTCGTTTCACCTTGGCCCTACAGAGCCTGCTTTGGGAATCTGCGTTGGGGCAGGTCGAATTTGCCCCTCCATGTGTTAATATGACGTGTATTTAGTTGCAGTTGCTCGCTCTTGATGTCCATCCCCCAACCCCCCCCCCCCCTCAATTCCGGCCCCAACAACGGCAAGGCACGGGCATGCGTGGGTAGTTGGTCCTGGCATTGAAACGCATGGAAGCTGCACTGCCGACCTTGCACAGAGAGAGACAGAGAGAGACCTCCCTCACCTTAATCCGAGCACCTGTTTAATTGGGAGGGGCGCCCCCCCCCCCCCCAAAATAAGGAAGGCAGGGTTCCCAAAATAAGGAAGGCAGGGTTCCGCAATAATTGGACCATGGCCCTGCATTGATTCTCTATTAAAAACAATAGGCTGCAGATCCCTGAGGTGCTGTAGCTCCGCATCTCCGCAAGCAAAACAAGAAGCCTGCCGACAGATTTTTGAACCCCCCCCAAAATTTTTTCTTTAATTGTGGGGGGTTATGCCCATACGAAATCCACCGCAATGGAAAGTAGTCTTCCGGCGGGCTTCCGGAGAAAAAAAACTCTTTAAATATGGGGGGGTTTAATTAAACAGGTGCTCGGATTAAGGGCCATGATTGCTGCAGGATCGGAGAGAGAGAGAGAGAGAGAGAGAGAGAGTTTTCTCGCGAACAGGCGACCCTTTGAAGAGCGAGTGGGCCCAGTGACATCGTGGAGGGCAATAGGAGGGAACCCACTCAGTTCAACGTGGGCACACCAGATGCCGGGGTTCGAACCCATGCCGGAGGCTACAAAGAGAGAGCGAGCGAGAGAGAGAGAGAGAGAGAGAGGGGGAGGGGGGGAGGGGGGGGGACCCCCTCCGGGACTATCGTCATGTCCGGCCCTAGGCCAAAATCTGACATGTTGGCCTTTCTACAAGCCTGACGGTTTGCAAGGGCCAGCACGTGTAGGACGTTGCAGGAGATAGCGCTGCTCCTCAACGAAGTGGCAGCGGCCGCAAGCGCAGCGGCAGAGGCAGTTTGCATGCATCCTCTTTTTGCTCAGGCCATGTCATACATGAGCACGATTGAGCCAGTGTATGTTCTGCTTCTTTGAGCCTTCATTTTACCTTCAACCAAGCCTTAGCACAATCGCCCTGACATGAGGCTAGCTAAAGCTGCCAAGAACGCCAGCTAGCGGATCCCGGCTCGAAGTTCAGAAGCCCAACCATCAAATCCACAACAAACCCAAAAAGCCGTGAAGAACCCTTAAGCAACCCTCACCACCTTCACCAAAGCGAAGGCGCAGTCCATCGTGGAGTCCCAGGCCCCCCAAGGGGGCTTGGAGTCTCCGCTTATGCATAAGGCAGCTTCCGGAATCAAAAGGGCTTCTGGCATTAGGTTCACAACAGGTTTAGGGTTTTCAGGGTATATTTTATTCGGCCGCGGACCAGGATTCAGAAAAACAGGGAGGCTTCGTATGAAGAATTGTTTTATGGTTTTTGAGACGGAATTCATTCGTCCCCAATCCCAAGTGCCAAGTGGTGCCCAGTGCCCTCCCCAAAACAGTTCTCAAAGGTCTCAGCTACTGTAACCGTAGCCTGCGCGCATGCTTTCAAAATTTTGCTTTGGATTGTTTGGGGCCGCATCCGCTTCCTGTTCTTGGCAGGCCATGCCCCGCAACCTGAAACTAGATACCCAGAGACAGGAGAAGCACTTCAGAACCCTACTGTGTGGGCCATCAACATGCATTGCGAGGCTACTCCTGATGCTTCTTCATTGGCGCAAGAGGCACGTGCCTCACGAAGCTTTGAAGCCGAGGGCGTGTTGGATCTAAAGCTTTTGAATTCACGTTGGAATGCCACTACATCAAACAGTGCAATTACGCTTCAGAGAGTACAGTATGGAGGGCCTATTTTTTTGGGTCTTTTTTTGTTGTTGTTTTTTTTGTGTAATGGGGGGGCTGCCCCCCAACCCCCCCGTTTTTTTTTCAGCCGTGCAGAGCGTGCTTCAAAGCCCAAGAAACTTGTTGACACCCATCATGTGAGCAGGGTGTTTGTACTGGGGGGCGCAGACCCCCCAACCCCCCCCCGCTTCTTTTTAGCCGTACCAGCGTGCTTCAAAGCCCAAGAAACTAGTTGAAAAACATCGTGTGAGCATTGTGTTTGCAAATGGGGGGCTGCGCCCCCTCCAACCCCCCCGCTTTTTTTAAGCCGTGCAGAGTGCGCTTCAAAGCGCAAGAAACTTGTTGACACCCATCATGTGAGCAGGGTGTTTGCAAATGGGGGGCGCAGACCCAGAAACTAGTTGAAAAACATCGTGTGAGCATTGTGTTTGCAAATGGGGGGGGCTGCCCCCCCCCCCCCCCCCCCCCCCCCCCCCCGCGTTTTTTTAAGCCGTGCAGAGCGCGCTTCAAAGCCCAAGAAATTGTTGACACCCATCATGTGAGCAGGGTGTTTGCAAACGGGGGGGGGGGCTGCGCCCCCCCCCCAACCCCGCCCCACTTTTTTCAAAGCCGTTTGTTGACACCATCATGTGAGCAGGGTGTTTGCAAATGGGGGGGGGGGGGGGCCCCCCCCCCCCCCCCCCCCAAAACCCCCCCGCTTCTTTTAGGCCGAACCAAGCGTGCTTCAAAGCCCAAGAAACTACCCCCTTTTAAGCCGTACCAAGCGTGCTTCAAAGCCCAAGAACTCCGTCCAAAATGTAAAGAAAATAAAGTTTTCCCTATGAAAAACCAACGAAAACCTAAGGGAAATGACAGGAAATCCGTCCAAAATGTAAGGAAAGTAGAGTTTTTCCTAGAGAAAACCAAGAAAATCGACAAAAAAAAACAAAAAAAATACCCACAAAAAAACTCCACCTGGTCTAATTTTTGCATCTGCTTGGGTGGGGTCCATGTTGAAAGCCCAAAGTGCGAAGCCCTGACCCTAAGCCCAAGCAACGCGGTCTGCTTGGCGGGAAAAACAACGCTACGAAAAAGGCACCGCCACCAACAAGAGCAACAATTGTCAGCACTTGCGCGCGCCGCCTCGGCAGCTGGGCCGGTTCACGTCCCAAGGCCCAGGAAATTCCAAAAGCCTTTCTCAGCCGAATTAGGGCTTTGTAGGCTTGGAGGGTTGACCCAAGCCCAGGAAAATTCCTGGAGGGCGCAGAGGGGGTTTCTCAGGCAGGGTCCCAAAAAGTGCCCAATCAGGGTGGCGTCCCGGGTTGGGAAGGAGACCAAATCTTGGACCAGCTGGGGTCACCACGAGGCAGGAAACTTACCTCTGCCAGGAAGCACACCCTAACATCAGGAAAGGACACAAATATGACCCGAAGCCAGGCAGCACATAGCTTGAGCACATACAATAAAAAAAATCTTTTCTCTGAGGCCAGCGAAAGTGCCAATCTCACAGAATGTGGCTACGGTTGTAGACGGTCCAAAGCAAGCCGGAAGGAACAAAGACCCAAACTAAGCCGGGGGCTAGCAGGGCTCCAGTGGACTGCCTACACAGGGCACCATAAGGCTAGAGTCTAGCTGTAAGGGCCGGCTGGCCGGGGGTCACTGCATTTCGGATCCGAGGGCTTGGAGGAGAGGATCAGGAGAGGGAGAGGGAGAGAGAGAGAGAGAGAGAGCCAGCCATGACGACTGAGTTTTTAAATGCCCTTTTCTTACAGCTCAGAACCACCACAATTCCCCCCCCCCCCCGCCCCCTCCCCTTACCATCCCCACCGTGAATCCCCACCCCTCGTTTCCTGACGGTCGACGGGCCGGCCAGCCTCATTGCAGAGCTACAGGGCCGTGACGAGCATGAGGCAGCAGGGTTAGCTTAGGTGGAGTAGGTTGAAAGTTGAGACGTAAATCCGCAGTTGGCTTGAACGTGCTCTGTTGTCCAAGGCCTGGAAAAGCTCAACACTCTTTCTACAACATCCGTAAACCGTAGTTCGTGTTCAGAATTCGAGTTTTTCCAAATGAGGTAGCTGCAAGCCAGAAGGAGCCAGCAGCAACATTGGAGGCCGAGGTGCAAAGGGCTGCTATTGAGGTAGACGTGCAGTGGACCAAGATGAGCGTTTCGTCAGTTTTGAGATCTTCGCACAGGCTGCCGCACTGCATGAGCGGAGCCGTGGTTCACAGGCCAGCGTCTACCAATGCACCGGAGCAGTCAAGTGGGAAGGCATCCATAAAATGTGCTGATTAGGAAACATCTTGCGCCACTGGCCTGGACCTTATACTGGTAGATGTGCCAAGCTGTATTGTTTGAAAGGGGGGTTGTTTCTTGCGTCTGCGGGAGTATACGGGAGAAGGGCCTATTTAGGGAGATGGGGTTAGCGCAGCACAATACAGCAGCGGAATCGGTCATGTTTTCTACGCTTGAGGTAAGAAGAAGGCCTTCGGTAGACCCAACGTGTTAATTAATCAGGTTGTGCAAGAGGAATGCAGTTCTGCAACATGTTATACATTCCCCCTCTTTCCTTCCGGAAGACCGCTCAGATGGTGCACACTATGCCCCAAGACTGAAGACTTTGCACCTTGCTGCTGTTTCAGGGCTTATCGGGTGTTCAGGCCTCCTGAAGTTTCAACTCTTGGTTCAAGACCTTTTCTTAACAATCGAACCAATAAAGCTGCTTAGGGCCCAACATGCCCTGGAACCTCAGTTGGAAAACTTGGCCTTTTCTTGAGGACTCAGAAACCAGCAACGCGCTTGCACTACCTATGTTGGTAAATCGAGTTGGCTAACTCAATCCGAGCGGAGTTTGAAAAGATTTTCTTCTGCTGTGTTTTGCGCATTTGTTTATGCAGTATGACCCAAGCGCTTGAAATGCTTCAATCACACGTATGGCCGGAGAATGCCGGGGAGCCCAGCATGATTTGAAACAGCATGCAACCTAAGCCCGACCTACAAAGGTTTTTTTGAGGCAGTGTTGGGGTTTTGGGCTGTCACGGTCTCGTCCGCTTCTAGGGGTTTTGGGCTGTCACGGTCTCGTCCGCTTCTGATCGCTTCTAGGGGTTTTGGGCTGTCACTGTCTCGTCCGCTTCTAGGGGTTTTGGGCTGTCACGGTCTCGTGCGCTTCTAGCGGCTTAGGGCTGTCACCGTCTCGTCCGCTTCTAGGGGTTTTGGGCTGTCACGGTCTCGTCCGCTTCTAGGGGTTTTGGGCTGTCACGGTCTCGTCCGCTTCTGATCGCTTCTAGGGGTTTTGGGCTGTCACTGTCTCGTCCGCTTCTAGGGGTTTTGGGCTGTCACGGTCTCGTGCGCTTCTAGCGGCTTAGGGCTGTCACCGTCTCGTCCGCTTCTAGGGGTTTTGGGCTGTCACGGTCTCGTCCGCTTCTAGGGGTTTTGGGCTGTCACGGTCTCGTCCGCTTCTGATCGCTTCTAGGGGTTTTGGGCTGTCACTGTCTCGTCCGCTTCTAGGGGTTTTGGGCTGTCACGGTCTCGTGCGCTTCTAGCGGCTTAGGGCTGTCTGCATGTATCAATTCCTAGGCTCCGCAAGATTCCGCAGGGTCTTCCCCCGGACCACTGTAATGCATATGATATGCATGTTTCGGAGCCATGTCTTCGCACGACCAATCAGTCAGACGCGCCGTGCGATGTCTCACCAGAGCACAGGCCTGCACCTTCACTTTTTTCGTCGCACTCGCGCAAGGCACCGCAAGCACGGACTTCAGCGCAGGGCACTTTCAAGGCGTAGCCCAAGAAACCATGCTGGTTGCACGTTTTGCGCGGCATAGCAGCATATCACTCTTTTCTTGCATAGCAGTGGTTTCGATGCATAGTAGGGGCTTGTGACAATTTTTCTGAAGCCTTGTTTGAAACGGTTGCACTGCGCAGATGGCACTGCATCAGGCTTTCAGCACCAGCTATACGGGGAGAAAGGTCTATCCAGAGGGAGATCAGGTAGGCACAGCACCATACAGAAGCACAGCCGGTCTTGTTTTCTCACGCTTGAGCAAAGAAGACAGGCCTTCGGTAGACCCAACATGCCATTCAGATTGTGTGAGAGGAATGCAGTTCTGAAGCGTGTGCTAAAAGGAGAACAACACGTTGTGCGAGCCGAGATGATTATGCCTTTTGTTGAACCGCTGGGCCTCGCTATCACCAAGCGGGTTTCGCTAAAGAAAGGACCGGAAGGAAACCACTTCTCCGAAAGGCTGATATTTTTTGCAGAACCACCAGCTGCTGCAAGCGAGTGTGTGTATGTGTGTGTGTGTGTGTGATTGAGGTTGCTTGGCAGGCCTTTCCTTGTTGGGGCGCCTGGGCTCGAGGCTGAGACTTCGGAGTGATCAGCTTGATGTAGATGACATCAGGACGACCATATAATTTGAACTTCCATGAATATGACCGGCAGGAACCGCCAAAGACAGAAGACCCCGCATGGTATGGCTTGGCGTGATGGAATGTGCTGTTGGAGTGCATTTCAAGCACGAGCCGTGAGGATTGGAGAAACTAAAGTGGTTTGTACGGTGCTCTCCCATGCGAATCACGGCGCAAGGTTGTCCGTACTGCTTCAGCCTAATCAGCGGCCACGGCCGATGTCCTCGGAATTGTGTCGATGTGTCGCGCGCAGGCACTGGGTGGTCGAGGCATCAAAGATGTCTGGGCGGCGTGCGCCATTTATTCTTCCTCCAAACGCTTCAACATTTTACAAAATTTTAGAAGCTTTGTCCTACGAAGAATGTAGCATCATTTTGCAGTTTCGGTAGAGCAATGCAGAAAGGAAACACCTGCGGGAAGGAAGTGCCTGCAGGGATTATGGAAGTATTCCGTAGGGATGTATTGGGATTGTATGGGGGTTAAAGCTAAAAATATGAGGAACTTGGCTGAAGTTTATTGAGCTGAAGATGTGGTCAAAGGGTTCAGGTTTGGCCATCGTATGTATATTTCAGCTTGTCGCGAAGAGTGTTCAGCATGTCATGGCTTAGGTCAGTGACTATGTTTCCTCCGATGGATGCTGCTAGCATCTCAGCAGCGCTTTGTCCCAGGTCCAGGTGGTGGTGGTGGTGGTGGTGGTGGTGGTGGTTGTGGTGAGTGGTAGTGGTAGTGGTAGTGGTAGTGGTGGTGGTGGTGGTGGTGGTAGTGGTGGTAGTAGTAGTAGTAGTAGTAGTAGTAGTAGTAGTAGTAGTAGTAGTAGTCGTAGCAGTAGTAGTAGCAGTAGTAGCAGTAGTA